TGGAGACCCGCCCTAACCGATTCCCAACCACCCTCCATTAATAAAGATCTTTTGTGATCAGTGATCGATGATCCAAGAAGCAATAAACGAAAGTGCAACCAATGAAAGGTGCATAACCAACAGAGAGAGTTAAAAGAATTTTCAAAAGAATTTGTCTTCAAATAAAAATAACCTGCCTAACATAATGGTTAACCGAACACCTGCCTAACTATAAATCTAAATTCGTTTATTATATCAAGAAACTTTTTCTGAGAAAAATGGACCAAACAATACATTGGATGAAAGATCTATCCATAAACCTCATCTATTACAATGCTCTAGAATCTTTGATGAATCAATGAGGATCAAAATTAACCTAACGAAGAAGCTCTGTATTTATGATGACTAGACTGTGAATTTTTATGAATTTATGGGAAATTTAGATTGTCAAAGAACTACAGAGTGCATTTAATATGCAAAAATATAACAAAACTCAAGTAAGATAAGAATTATTGTATTTAGGGTAATCTGGTGAAGAAGCTCTATGTTTATGATGACTAGACGGATATTTATGAATTTACGGGAAATTTAGATTGTCAAAACACTATAGAATGCATTTAATATGCAAGAATATAACAAAAACTCAAGTAAGATAAGAATTATTGTATTTAGGGGTTGAAAGAACCCTCTACGAAGCTTTTATTAATAAATATATGAATTTGCATAAAAATTCGCAGTCCAATGATGACCTATGCGAGGCGGATCGCAGCCAATTAGCTAATATCGTTTAGTTTTCAATTAATAATTGCATTACCCAGCTGAGAGTGACACGATTATTAATTAAACGCTAAATAATATTACCCAGGTCTCACCACGAGGAGGTTGCTGCGAATGGAGACCCGCCCTAACCGATTCCCAACCACCCTCCATTAATAAAGATCTTTTGTGATCAGTGATCGATGATCCAAGAAGCAATAAACGAAAGTGCAACCAATGAAAGGTGCATAACCAACAGAGAGAGTTAAAAGAATCTTCAAAAGAATTTGTCTTCAAATAAAAATAACCTGCCTAACATAATGGTTAACCGAACACCTGCCTAACTATAAATCTAAATTCGTTTATTATATCAAGAAACTTTTTCTGAGAAAAATGGACCAAACAATACATTGGATGAAAGATCTATCCATAAACCTCATCTATTACAATGCTCTAGAATCTTTGATGAATCAATGAGGATCAAAATTAACCTAACGAAGAAGCTCTGTATTTATGATGACTAGACTGTGAATTTTTATGAATTTATGGGAAATTTAGATTGTCAAAGAACTACAGAGTGCATTTAATATGCAAAAATATAACAAAACTCAAGTAAGATAAGAATTATTGTATTTAGGGTAATCTGGTGAAGAAGCTCTATGTTTATGATGACTAGACGGATATTTATGAATTTACGGGAAATTTAGATTGTCAAAACACTATAGAATGCATTTAATATGCAAGAATATAACAAAAACTCAAGTAAGATAAGAATTATTGTATTTAGGGGTTGAAAGAACCCTCTACGAAGCTTTTATTAATAAATATATGAATTTGCATAAAAATTCGCAGTCCAATGATGACCTATGCGAGGCGGATCGCAGCCAATTAGCTAATATCGTTTAGTTTTCAATTAATAATTGCATTACCCAGCTGAGAGTGACACGATTATTAATTAAACGCTAAATAATATTACCCAGGTCTCACCACGAGGAGGTTGCTGCGAATGGAGACCCGCCCTAACCGATTCCCAACCACCCTCCATTAATAAAGATCTTTTGTGATCAGTGATCGATGATCCAAGAAGCAATAAACGAAAGTGCAACCAATGAAAGGTGCATCACCAACAGAGAGAGTTAAAAGAATCTTCAAAAGAATTTGTCTTCAAATAAAAATAACCTGCCTAACATAATGGTTAACCGAACACCTGCCTAACTATAAATCTAAATTCGTTTATTATAATAAACAATTCGAAATTCGCAGCCATTAGCTCGGTGTCACCCATGAAGAATAACTTTTCTATCGTGGGGTGACACCGATTACCAGGTCTCACCACGAGGAGGTTGCTGCGAATGGAGACCCGAAGGGAGATAGATGGAATCAAAGGTTCCATCGATCTCCCTTTTAGCTAAGCTTAGCTGGATCACTAAACTAGAGAGATAGAAGTAAGCAATGTTCCTTCGATCTTCTAGTTCAGTTGTACCAAGTAATTATTTCGTTTGAAAAGGGATGAAGCTAAATTATGGGATACGCGACGCGACGCGACGCTGAACCGCGCGGCAGATCCTCGGATCGAATCAACGCTGCCCTTGGTAGATTGATTTCTATTTCTAGAAATCGATCCATCATGGGCAGGCGACTAGATCTTTCGGACAAACTGGACGGCCGATCACATGTTTCGATCGATGAAACAGCGGTGATCGAAGCTAGGGACCAGAGAACGAGTCGAGGGAAGCTACTTGTTAAATAATTACTTGGCAATATTGGGAGACGCGTACAATAGGGACTTAAAATTAACGTCGAAGCTCAAGTTAGAACTAAAATTCGGACGATAGAAGGAAACAAAGTTCCTTGGATGTTCTGGTTTAGTTGTACCGAGCAATTATTTGGTTAAAAAGAGGGACGAAGTTAATTTGAGGGGCACGCGAAGCGACGCGACGCTGAACCGTGCAGCGGATCCGAGGATCGAACCTACTGCCCTTGCTAACTAGATCTCTACAGGATAACGGACGGCTGCGACTCCGAATCTAAGGTCTCCATTGCTCCAACGCAACCCGCCGGGAGCCCGAAGGACCCGACTCAAGTTGTCTGACAAAGAGAGAGTACCTCTGTTTCAGTGTCGACTTCCGCTGGAAGGTATGCGTTTCCGCAGGACACGGAAACTCCACACCTTCCAGCAGAGTACCATTTTCCCTGGATCTAGCTACCAAAGGGAAGGCGATCAGATCTTTCGGATCAGCTACACGGCCGATCACATGTTTCGATCGATGAAACAGCGGTGACCGAAGCAAGAAACGAGAGAAGAAGCTAATTGTTTAATAATTGCTTGGTAGGACGCCGGAGATACGTATAATAAAGAAGGCTTCGACGTTAATTTTAATACTCGCGACGAAGCTTAAGACTAATCGACTTGCAATTAAAGGTCCCTCGGCGGTTGTGGTGTTCTCCTTCGATGTCCTTGCGATTAACTGAAATCAAAACTCATATGTATGTTAGTGAGATATGGTAGGAAATTTAATAAACACTTTAAAATTATCTATCACCTAGCTAAAGGGAATCGAACAAAGTATATTAGCAAAATGTTACAAGAATTTAAGCTGAGAAGTAAAAATAAAAATCTTCTATTAATCAGCGTCGAACAACGAACACGAACGAAAGAACGAGTCAGAGACATCGAAACGAATACGGTATATGCATCGACGCAATGTTATTCGTATCAAAACACTCCTAACGATGAAAGAAACTTGGATCGAGACACCAAGTTGAATCAACACCAAACGATCGAACGAAATGGAAGAATCGAACAAAGTACCTCCGTAGAATATTACGAGAATTCGAGCAAGAACGTAAAAATACGAATTTGTATAGAAACAAATATAGTGTATGATTGGAAACGATATTATATTATTATATCCTGCGATATTATACATATCGAAGCGGTCACGTGAATTCGCAAAACAATGTGAAAGTAGAATCAGAGAAGAGGGACATTCATAATAACTAAATAAAATCAGATAAACTTGAATTCACATCGAACAAACAAATAAAAATGATAAAATATGAATAAGTGGAGTGGACTTACTACTTGTTGTCTGTACATAGGCTAGTTACCACTGGATCAGCTGTAAGGAAAGAAAATATTCATATTATAGCAACATCAGTTAGATAGGGAAGGCAAAATCAGTTGTAGCAAAATTGGTATTAAATGATAGAATAGAAGAGGGGAGAGAATTTTTAAACAGTTCTTACCGTTGGTCATCACCGTCCGGCACTGGTCAGTAGTGGTCAGCAGTGGTCAGTAGTGGCCAACAGAGGTCAGTAGTGGTCAGCAGTGGTCAGCGAGCGCCCAGTAGTGGTCAGTAGTGGCCATCAGAGGTCACTAGCGGTCCCCGGTTCCCTTCTGGCCACTTGTACACTCCCGAATTCGCGACGCGACTGAAGAATTCTTCGCAGTGACCCTGCTTATCTGTCCCAGGTGATGAAAGGGAGGGGAGACCAGTCAGAGCCAACGACAAATGGTCTAAAGTTACCAGTTAACACTGCCTTGTCTACAAAGGAGCTATTTCGATTGGTCCCACCTCCTGGCCATTACTAAACCTTCACTGGACCTCTGATCTTGATATCAGCCTCACTGTTGACCACCAGTGACCATAAGCTAGTCATTGTTGATCATCGACCCATTGAAACCATTAAGAAGATTGAAGCCTTCCTACGAGGATCCCCTTACAATTTGATGCATGATTTGTTCCACTTTGGAAGAGTGTATTTTTATCTTTTTGTACGTCAATTCGACCAATTGCCATACGTGAACGAAAACTTCGAAGGTGATTTTAGCATCCTCTTCTCATGGATGATGGTCAGTTGAGAAACTATTCACAGAATTAGTATTGATACGCAAAGAGCTGTAATTTTGCATAATGTGAGTTGACTATGGGGAAGGGATTGAAATTCATTTCCAATTTAGTTGGTAACGTTGCGAGTGACACGAAAATGGTAATGGGGATCTAGACACAGGTGAAAGGTCTACCTGTACACCTGGTCTGCGTTGCAACGTCTATTGTGTACCATTGAATGGTAAAACTGACGACTTTGCTACCATTGGTCGATACGTTATTAGCCGTTTGTAAGCGAAAAAGCGTTTCTGTCGTATCGACCAACGTCCAGAGCCTACGAAATCTGTATTGATCGCGGGAGGCGCATGCGTACGTGTTAATTGGATCACACGTTGGCAGGATAATGCAAGTCGGGGGCAGATATCAGTAGAAGCAACTGCGCTACACGGAGTACCGAGCTCAAGCGGTCGAAAGAACAGTTCATAGTCGGGCACGTGTTCCACAGTGATCGTGACGAGGTATCGTTCTAACGTCCAAACTGGATCACTAGCTTCACTGAACATCATTTATCTATCGATGATCGGAACGCGTAACAAACATTTAACGAAACTGGTGAAAACAGAGCCAGTACTGTGAAACCGTGACGAGGACCACTTCGAAAGGTACAATACGTTTCTTTTTTTACGATAAAGCTAGATACCTTCATCGATTTAATTTCATGTACATATCAAGCTTGACGTTATTTGGTTGCGTATTAATAAATTCAAGGTACCGTTGCTATCATTCTTTTCTTTGATAAAGCCTTTGATCTCGAAGCACCAATTGATTCTTCGTACAGTATGCGATATGAGTTTCCCAAACTATTGCAATGCATCCTGAGAAGGGGTACAAACCGATAACACTTTGAAGACTATAAATACTTTCTGGGAAATCGTAATTGAGCAATGGCCCGTATGTTGCGGAACAGCGCGGTATAGATAAAGCTGCAATGCAGTGATGTCCTCCTGGAATCTATTCCCAATCGTTTTGTGATACCATTCGATCATTTTTAGCCTCGATCAGACCAAACGATCGAAGCTCAATCGCGATCTGATCATTTCAAACGTTACCATTTGCATCGTGGAATTTTTTCATATAAACACATTAAGATACTCTTATGGCTCTGATTCCTGTTAAAGTGTTATTTTAAATATTTGTCAATGTTGTGTTTTACAAGATTCGAGTAAATAGAATCTATGTTTTTGGTGCTTTTCAACACTGTTCTTCGAAACTGTAAAATAAGTTTGTTACTAATGTTGATGTAATTTTGTTTTTAATATAGTTGGTGTATAGCTTTGGAGAATTATTAGATGTTCGAAAAGAGTGAAGCATGCGGTGAAATGCACGTAAAATTGCAGTTAGAATCTCCCAATAGCCTTGGCACGCTTGTTGCTAGATATTGCTTCCGCCCCCGCCCCCTGCATACTGGTAGATTAATTTGAAATTCTCGTGGCGTCGAACTTTCGATAAAGATGTTGACACGATCGATGATTCACTTTTAGACGTTCCGCGAGGGTTGTGTTCTTTTAACATTAGCTTCCTCGTCCGAATTTTAAAATAAACTTTCATCGATTCTTCTTCCAAAAGCAATAATAGAGTTTCCTTGTGATATAACTTGCAGGAAATTCAATCAGAAATAGAATTTTCTCATGATATGACTTGCAAGATATGTTCTACAATTTTTAAAAATGCTGGTTTAATTAAATATTACAGGATATAATTTACAAGGGGAGACCACGTCCCATGGAACACCGATTTTTTTGAAATTTCACACAGATGTTCTACTCGAAAAATAATTCTACCCATATTTAGCCAAAAGTGTAAATAAGCCCCCGTTTTCGAAAAATTTTAAGTTAAAAATCAAAGTTCTTCGATCGAGCTGAAATTTTACATGGACGCTCTACATGCAATTTTAGGGATCCATATTTTTTATTTTACAAAAATAACGATTTTTAAATATATATGTATCCTTAAAATTGCACGTGGAGCGTCTATGTAAAATTTCAGCTCGATCGAAGAACTTTGATTTTTAAGTCAAAATTTTTCGAAAAAGGGAGCTTATTTATTTATTAAATTTAGTTATTTATTATGACAGATTTTTATAAGGTTTCACATGTTAAACTTGACGTTTCAGAAATTCAATCAGAAATAGAATTTTCTTATATGACTTGCAAGCTTCTTCAATAATTTAAAAAAATGCTATTTTAATTAAATATTACAGGATGTAATTTAGTCATTTATTATGAGAGATTTTTATGAGGTTTCATATGTTAAACTTGACGTTTCAGAAATTCAATCAGAAATAGAATTTTCTTATATGACTTGCAAGCTTCTTCTATAATTTAAAAAGATGCTATTTTAATTAAATATTACAGGATGTAATTTAGTCATTTATTATGACAGATTTTTGTGAGGTTTCATATGTTAAACTTGACGTTTCAGAAATTCAATCAGAAATAGAATTTTCTTATATGACTTGCAAGCTTCTTCTATAATTTAAAAAGATGCTATTTTAATTAAATATTACAGGATGTAATTTAGTCATTTATTATGACAGATTTTTATGAGGTTTCATATGTTAAACTTGACGTTTCAGAAATTCAATCAGAAATAGAATTTTCTTATATGACTTGCAAGCTTCTTCAATAATTTAAAAAAATGCTATTTTAATTAAATATTACAGGATGTAATTTAGTCATTTATTATGAGAGATTTTTATGAGGTTTCATATGTTAAACTTGACGTTTCAGAAATTCAATCAGAAATAGAATTTTCTTATATGACTTGCAAGCTTCTTCTATAATTTAAAAAGATGCTATTTTAATTAAATATTACAGGATGTAATTTAGTCATTTATTATGAGAGATTTTTATGAGGTTTCATATGTTAAACTTGACGTTTCAGAAATTCAATTAGAAATAGAATTTTCTTATATGACTTGCAAGCTTCTTCTATAATTTAAAAAGATGCTATTTTAATTAAATATTACAGGATGTAAATTAGTCATTTATTATGACAGATTTTTGTGAGGTTTCATATGTTAAACTTGACGTTTCAGAAATTCAATCAGAAATAGAATTTTCTTATATGACTTGCAAGCTTCTTCAATAATTTAAAAAAATGCTATTTTAATTAAATATTACAGGATGTAATTTAGTCATTTATTATGAGAGATTTTTGTGAGGTTTCATATGTTAAACTTGACGTTTCAGAAATTCAATCAGAAATAGAATTTTCTTATATGACTTGCAAGCTTCTTCAATAATTTAAAAAAATGCTATTTTAATTAAATATTACAGGATGTAATTTAGTCATTTATTATGACAGATTTTTATGAGGTTTCATATGTTAAACTTGACGTTTCAGAAATTCAATCAGGAATAGAATTTTCTTATATGACTTGCAAGCTTCTTCAATAATTTAAAAAAATGCTATTTTAATTAAATATTACAGGATGTAATTTAGTCATTTATTATGACAGATTTTTATGAGGTTTCATATGTCAAACTTGACGTTTCAGAAATTCAATCAGAAATAGAATTTTCTTATATGACTTGCAAGCTTCTTCTATAATTTAAAAAGATGCTATTTTAATTAAATATTACAGGATGTAATTTAGTCATTTATTATGAGAGATTTTTATGAGGTTTCATATGTTAAACTTGACGTTTCAGAAATTCAATCAGAAATAGAATTTTCTTATATGACTTGCAAGCTTCTTCAATAATTTAAAAAAATGCTATTTTAATTAAATATTACAGGATATAATTTAGTCATTTATTATGACAGATTTTTGTGAGGTTTCATATGTTAAACTTGACGTTTCAGAAATTCAATCAGAAATAGAATTTTCTTATATGACTTGCAAGCTTCTTCTATAATTTAAAAAGATGCTATTTTAATTAAATATTACAGGATGTAATTTAGTCATTTATTATGACAGATTTTTATGAGGTTTCATATGTTAAACTTGACGTTTCAGAAATTCAATCAGAAATAGAATTTTCTTATATGACTTGCAAGCTTCTTCTATAATTTAAAAAGATGCTATTTTAATTAAATATTACAGGATGTAATTTAGTCATTTATTATGAGAGATTTTTATGAGGTTTCATATGTTAAACTTGACGTTTCAGAAATTCAATCAGGAATAGAATTTTCTTATATGACTTGCAAGCTTCTTCAATAATTTAAAAAAATGCTATTTTAATTAAATATTACAGGATGTAATTTAGTCATTTATTATGACAGATTTTTATGAGGTTTCATATGTCAAACTTGACGTTTCAGAAATTCAATCAGAAATAGAATTTTCTTATATGACTTGCAAGCTTCTTCAATAATTTAAAAAGATGCTATTTTAATTAAATATTACAGGATGTAATTTAGTCATTTATTATGACTTTATTTTCCATTTTCCTAAATTATTCCAAAATATTTTAATAAACAACGTTTAATCGAAAGCTATACAAACAAAGATATTAATTAAAATGCAAATTACATAGTTTGTAAATGTTTCTCTCTAATTGTACAATTTTGTTATTTTTTTAAATAACTGTATCATATATTAGGAACTCATTTTCATACTGTGACATTTAAAAAAGATATTAAAAACTAATTTTGGTGCTTTTGACTCGTCGAATAAGAATTATCCTGCTACCAATGTGCGGTTTCGACAGAGCAGGTTATCTCAAAGGATATCCGTGATTGTTTCGTATCTTGGACGGTAATGGCAATGGTCTCGTTCGCTTTACACACACGTAATGCACACACGATAAGAATAACAGAGCGACAGATCGCTGTGAACGTAACAATTGACGTAAATATTAATGGATAGATTGTGTCACGTACGTAAGTTAAAGAGAACAGATAAAAGTGCGCTTTGAAACGATATTGGCACCTGTGATGGTTATATGTATGCAATTCTACACGCGTGGCTTAGAAAATTCTACAGCGTGGCTCATAATCAGCTCGTTATTGACAAAAATTAATCTTCTTATCGACCAGAAAAATAATAATATTTATAATAAATTAATTCTATTAATTTTATTAAATTAATTCTCTCAATTTTATTAAATTAATTTTCTTGATTTTATTAAAATAATTCTCTTGATTTTATTAAATCAATTCTCTTGATTTTATTAAATTAATTTCCTTCCCTTAATTTCTATTAAATTAATTCTCTTCTCTTAATCTTATTAAATTAATTCTCTTCTCTTAATTTTATTAAATTAATTCTCTTGATTTTATTAAATTAATTCTCTTCTCTGAATTTTATTAAATTAATTCTCTTCTCTGAATTTTATTAAATTAATTCTCTTCTCTTAATTTTATTAAATTAATTCTCTTGATTTTATTAAATTAATTCTCTTCTCTCAATTTTATTAAATTAATTCTCTTCTCTTAATTTCTATTAAATTAATTCTCTTCTCTTAATTTCTATTAAATTAATTCTCTTCTCTTAATCTTATTAAATTAATTCTCTTCTCTTAATTTTATTAAATTGATTCTCTTGATTTTATTAAATCAATTCTCTTCTCTTAATTTTATTAAATCAATTCTCTTGATTTTATTAAATTAATTCTCTTGATTTTATTAAATTAATTTTCTTCTCTCAATTTTA